CGGAATAGAAGTCTCTTCTCCACAATGAAGATAAACGAGATATCCAATTGACTTGAGAGCTTGCAGGTGTGTCTTTTGATCCCAAAGAAATTCAATAGAATCAGCTGGAGCTGGAGCTCCGTGCGTTTAATTACGACACTTTTGCTACGTTTGGAGAAAATGCTCTTAATTATAAACATATAACTGTGATATTTACTCAGTTCAATATGTTGAGACTATATATTCGAAATAAAAATGCGTATGTTACAGCATTCGCAAATATACTATCTCAAAGCCAATTTTTTACATATGGAGAACACTGAAATTTGAGGATTTCCTAGGAACCAAAAACCAAGATTTCCAGACAGTTTTTTTCTAAGAATCGTGGTTCTTGGTTCTTGGTTCCTGGAAAATACGGAAATTGCAGTATTTTAGCTGAAATTTCAGTACTTCCTAGGAACCAAGAACCAAGAACCAAAATTGCTAGAACACCTTCTTCTAAGAGAATTTTGGTTCTTCGGTCTTTGAAAATCTTGAAATTTGCGTATATATTTTCCAAAATTTGCAGTATTTCCTGGGAAACAAGAACCAAGATTTCTAACATTTTGTTTCTGGGAATCTTGGTTCTTGGCTCCTGGAAAATGCTGAAATTTCAGTATTTCGGCGAAATTTCTTATGTTTTCTTTATCCCATTATACATATATATGTACATACACCTTCTCTTTCATATATGTGAAATAGAAACACTATGGAAGCATAGGTTTTCGAGAAAAGGATACTAGAGGGGTACCATATAAAAAGGTAGGTACATAGGTTATTTTCAATGCGCAGGAACTATACATATTACAAAAAGATACAAAAGGTACTTTTTTGTGGGTGGGTACCATGTCTATATATATATATAAGTGCTCTCCGCTTGCAGTTTCTGCTTAGTACTTGGTAGATATTTTCCCCCTCGTGCGAAGATGCGCAGCGTTTATGTTTAAATACACACTTTTCAAGCCTGATGCATTTGAAAAGCAAATGTATAAAGTTACAAGTTTAAAATGCCCTGCAGGATGCTTTGCCCAGCAAATTGATTTTTTCATTGATTATCTATATACACCTACAGTAGCCTGTCGCGCAGCTTCCATAAGTGAAAGCCCATGCATGTGCCTTGAGCATATTCAGAGGCATGTGCCTTATAGTATATACACACAGAATTGTTCCCTGCTTCTAGCAAGCAGGCGCAGATCTCCATGTTAGCATGGCATGTTGTAGCAACAGGCAGTTATTGAATCTTCACAAGTATGAAAGATCTCACCTTCAAACCGCCTCGGTATACATGGGAATATACTCGTTTACAGATCTCTTGATCCCTCTGCGAAGGCCTATACACAAGTACTACAAAACCTCGCGGGGAGCTCTGTGACGATGCGCACGCGTGAATCAAACCCCTACATACATATCCTACGGACCCCATGCGAACCCCATACACTGATCTTTGCTTGCACAAGCTGTTGCCTTGCGTGGCGATCTGGCCTATATATGTACTTGTTTAAGTTTTGCGTGCAGGGCCGACACATTGGGTTATAAGGGCCTGTTATTTTCAAGGTTTGGGGTTTCGGGTTTGTAGAGGGCTACAAAGGGCTCGTAACCCTTTTTAAGGCTATATACCTATGCGTATATATATATACATATATATATATTTAGGGCGTATATATATAGGTATATATACATGTAGAACTTATGGACGTATAGGGTGTATCTGGTGGCATACATAGGGTACGGGGGGGAATTATGATTTCCTGAAGACATGCAGGGTTTAATTGGGTTCCCTACATGCCAGGCTTTAAATGTGGGATTTTGAGGCAACATAGCGGTTTTGATCCTGGGGTGGAAGGCGTTTTTTGAAAGTGGCAGGCGTTTCCTATTTGCTGCAGGCGGAAATTATTGCCTTCCAGGTGGCGGGCGAAAATTCAGCGGAGTGTCTAGGACACCCCTGACATCCGGATGCATTTTGGCCTTGAGAGCCACCTCCTCCTTTTGAAGGGCAACCTTCCTGGCACGATAGTGGTCGAGCGCAGCCTTCCTCCTTGCCTTTGTACCCTCCACTCCTTCAGACAGGATGGTTGCGATAGCCCTCATATTCGGTGCATCCATAGACACGGGCGAATCAAAAGGGTGGGCAATTTTCAAGGATTTTTCAAGAAAAACATCATGCGTATGAAAGATCCCGTACTCAACCTCGCGAACCCAATTCCCCCTTTTTAAGATCTCGCGACTCCACAGTAGCTTTGATCCTACGGGGATACCCTGGAGGCCGTGCGGCGCAGAGGCTGGTATCTCTTCAGACTTGAGGCGGATCCACTTCCGCTGGCAAGGTGACTGCGACCTTTGTGGCATACTCTGGGGGACCCTACGGGTCCACGACCTTTGCGAGGCTGCTTTTGCGATGCAATGGACGCGTGCGCTGCCTGAGTGGCCTCAGGCTCCTGCAGCAATGAAAAACCTTTGGCTTGCAAGGCGATCGCAATGTCACGCGCAACTGCCTTACAAAACTGAGGCGGGTACGCCGTTTCCTGCGAAGTAGCAAAGGACCATCCTTGTTTGGACTTGATGGGCCCCCGCTGCAAATGAACATGATTGCCCGAGCAGACCTTGTGCATTCCTGGCAACGGAATGGTGGACAGAAGGCCTGTCTTTTTCTGCCTGCGGGAGCCGTACTCACATGCGTGAGGTTCGTGCCACAAACCAATCTTTAGGAGAGGACGAAACCACTTAGTTTGCCACATCCACGACGAAGCCGGGTTCTCCGCTACTGAGATTTGTCCGGCTTTCTGCGCATACAACCACACTTCACTTGCAAAGGCATATAAGGTGTTTGCGCTGGCAACCTTATCCTTGGCAACCCCTCGCAACCAAGGGAAACCCTCTTGGAACCTAGAACCCCTAAGGGGCTTAGGGGTTGGGGCGCCGGCTTTGCGCGACTTCTTGCTGATGGGTATGCTCCTTGCCTTGCTGGCTGTGCCGCACGGTGGCGCCAGCCATATCACATCTGCCTGCTAAATTTCACGCCACAGTATACGCTGGTGATCTGGTTTGCGAAGATCAAGCTTGACCATGGGCGAACGCGCGCCTGTGCGAGGCGTGAAGTGATCCACGCCCAATGTATGAAACGTTCATCATTGTTGGAATCAATATGTGGTTCCGCCTTCAAATCACTGAACACAGCCACTGAACAAAACGTGGCAGACGGGGAGGCTTCCCTGATCAAGGCGGTCAAAATCTTTGTGCTTTCAGGAAATAAAGAAGAATTGTGTCTCAAGCCTACTGCACCATCTTTAGCCCAAGCACCGCTGGCGAAGGATCGTGAATCCACAGCCTCTCCACCCCTGCATGCCCGCTCTGAAGGAAGAAGGCGCACAAGCTCAAGGGCCTGACTCCTGGATGGGGCAGATTCTGACAAAGAAGCTGCTAGATGTTCAGCCATCCCTGGAGCATAATCAGTAGGGGAGTGCCCCTCGGCCAAACCTTCGCATGGAAAATGAAACTTCTTGTCTGCGCCCCCTTGACGAGGATGCATAGACGCTGGCCCCGGACTTGGACCCCTTGGTCCTGGCCCGTTCATGAGCCTGCGTCTCACAAGTCTTCATTGGCGTGACACCGGCGCCGTACCTGGACCCCTCGGCCCCAGCCCGTTCATATGCCTGCATCGCACCGACTTGTCGGCAGCATGCGTTGCTGACTCCTGCATCGAGCCGGCCTTACGCTTCCTTCCAGCTAGGCAGGCTGGGTGAGTCAAGAAAGTATGGTCAGTGGCAAAGCAGTCCGGATAACAGCACCTGTGGAGGCCCTTTGCGCACGAGTCACCACCGCTGCGTTGACCAAGCAAGGTTATGGTCAAAGCATAGGGCCTTCCCATTGTTATCCCTAGCCACACCTCTGAAGAGTCCCTTCGGCGTGCGATAGAAAACCTTACGTTTCTTCTTTGCAGGGGGCTTGGCCTCCTCATCCCCGGCTGACTCACTTTTAGCCTTAGCCCTCGGCTTGGGCTTGGCTTTCGGCTTCGGCTTTGGAGCCGGCTCGGCATCAGCATCCAGTGGATGGCCGGCAAAGCAAGGACCTGGACTATGACATCATCTAAGGGCATTCCCCCTGAGGCCGTAGGTGCCAAACCTGACCGCGTCATCTCGGATGGCCCTCTGTCCACCATCTGCAGCTGGGAGAAAGACACAGGATGATGACCCGGCGTTACCTCCCATCGATATTCTGAAAACAAGGCATCGATGAGCTTCTCATGGGCCTCGAAGGACATGATGGCTGCCAGATCATAGGCCGCCCCACGTCTGCGCAGCGCCTGCATGACCTCAAGATCTGAGCCAGTAGAGGCTCGCAACCCGGACTCCGGATCACGCAGGAGGACGGCTCCCTCCTTCGAACTCTGGAGGAGCTTCAGTGATGAATCTTCTTTCACTGCATTCACCTCCTGCGCACGAGAGGTACATCGAAACCACTCGACGTACTTGATTCTCTGCTCCTCCAACATATGTGCGGCATGATTGACCAGTGCTTGCGATGGCTCCAACTTGTCCACCAACCTCAGCGGCTTGACCCTCTGCTGAAGAACATCGTAGCGCGCAGCAAGCTCGACCGCTGGCAACTTCCGCGGTTGGTCCGACTCCTGCACCTCGGCAGTGCGCTTCAGCTCCGCAGCCGTGATCGCGAATGCTTCGAAGTGGAGTCTCCTCAACTTAGGCACGTGTTCTTGCTCGCTCCCAAGTACAGGCTGGCAAACAATGCTTCGAAAATCTGAATCGGAGATTTTGCCCGGATCACCGGGGACCGCAAAAGCAAAGGCGCCATACGCTGTCCACCCCTTGGCAGTCATTTTGGTCGCAGCGTCGTCGGGCAACTTTAGTTGCCTGCGCTTCGCCTTGAAGAGCGCTTCGGAATCTACTGCCGCCATGGCCTAAACTGATCGGCCCGAGCCCAAAACTACGGGAGGCCAATAAGCGCTCATCATTCATCGTGAAAGGACGCCTGCTGTCGGGCCCCCAACATTTCAGTGTCACATCAAGATGCACTCACATGAAAGGCAAGCGCGCCTGACCCCCGGCATCTCATGTAACAGCAAGGTGCATGATACTTTCTGCTCGGCCGCTCATCGACCCGCCCAGCAAGAGCTGCGTTTGCTCAAAATCACGGCAGGTAACTCATCCAAACGCTCATAATTAGCGTTCGCGACCCTACCGCATACCAAAACTGACATTTCACCCTCGTCATCAGGATGATCCTCTCTGGAAATATGCACTACCCTACTCGATCTGTGACGGAAAACTACTGGCAGATTGCTACTGCTGTCCACGCGAACAATCGAGCCAAGACCCCCAGCATAAAAGGAAGCTTCTTCAAAATCGTCGGCCTCCATTTCGGGCGCTTCCGAGAAAACCTCCGATGGGGGCTCAAGGTCCGAACTCGCCTCACCTGACTGGTGCTCAGGCACCTTATCAGTGCCCCCGCCAAGCGCAGCCACGGCCGCCTCTATGGTCTCGGTTGCGCAGTTCCACCTACCTGCCCTTGTCAGAACGGATTGAGCCAGATTGGTATCTTTATAAATGTGTTCGAATGAAGACACGGGCATCCAGCTTGCACACAGGGCGGGTTGGGTGGGAACCAAAATGAATCTTGTGCCATAAATCACCGAAAACATCAAGTGTCAAGCAATTGGCATGCGATCAAATCACTCAAGCATGGAGTTTGCCAACCAAACTAAATCCGGCAAAAAGTTTTGAATTTTCCTCAGGCTTTCGCCAGGCATAAGGATGCATAACCAAACCTAAGAGGGCCCACCCACCCACCCAGCTAATCCTCCCTGACAAACCCATTGGGAGACCCAAGGAGCTTGTCAGAACGGATTGAGCCAGATGGGTATCTTTATAAATGTAGTCGAATCTATAAGCATCCAATCAAATCATATCAAAATCAAAATCTTCCTCACGAAAACTCCCATCAAGATAATCAATCAAAAGATGCATATCAAAAGGATGCACTGTGAGCACACTCCTTTTGAATGGTGGCGCGGATCCAACCTTGTCTTTCAATCACAACCCTACGCTGACGGTTCAAGGGTGGAACCACACGAACAGAGCCCGACCGAAAGGCGTGGGGTGTAACCCATGTGAAGCGACAGACTACCACTTAGTTTTCTCAGCCAGCTTTTGCTTCTTAGTTGCTGGGGCAGGAACACGATTCTGCAGCCTTTGATTTGAGCGAGCCAGCTCGAAATCCCGGTAGGCTGATTGCGTTGCGTCAAAGATGGCCATGGGCAGCATGTCAAGAGAAGCTTCGACCCTGTTGCGCAAAGAGAAACGTCGAAGCGCAAGTTGGTAATGTCATCGGCTCAACATTTTCCTCATGTGGACGCCGCTGCAATCTCAGGCGGGAACCTGTCGAGAACAAGTAAGCTGAGAACTGCGCGAGGATACCCATCAGAGGCCACTTCATGGAAGAACCCTTCGTGGTTGCCTGCGGATTGGACCGGTTGTCCGTCCCGGCGGTGATGGCAGGCAGCACAAGTCCCGCTGGTGAAATGTACGGCGCAAACACCACGCAGGCTGGATATGTCGCAAGGAGCTCTGCACTTGTTGACGCCCGCTGCGATGAACCATCAGATTTGAACAACCATGGAGCATCAGGATCCTGACGCCGCAGTCCTTTATTGATGGGGAGGCGTCTTTCGCTGAAGGTGTTCAGTTTGGTGATGAGCAGCCAATTCCACGCACTCCACAGGTCTTCCGGGAGAGGGTCAATTCCAGGTCTCTGTCTTCCTCGGAGGAGATATCCTGAACTACAGTCGCATCCTGCGCTGGACGTTGACCCTCTGTGCTTGCGCAACCTTCAGTCTGGGTGCTGGGCGCCTACCTTGTGTACCTGCGCCGAGCATTGTCTGAACCTTGGCCACCTGACCTCGATCGCCTGTGCAAGCCGTAAAGGGCTAATGTATTTTCCGTCTGTGATCAGGCGCCTGACCTTCTGCATCTGTGTCGAATACAGCCTGGGAACATGTGCCTTGTCCGCCTGATCTAATCTGACCTAAGCACCTGGTAGAGCACTAGCAACGCCAGAGCAGACGAACCGGATGTTTGACTTTGTGCGCTTGGATCTGACCTGCGCATCTGGGCAGAGCACTTGGAATGCGGAAGCAGCCTGCTCTATACCTTTAGGCTGAGATGATTGCGCGCCTGAAGTAAACACGGAAGAAAGCGAAGGAAAAGATTGGTGTGGCTCAGATAGAACCCTCTTTTCCGCAGGAGTCTGAACCAACACGAATTCCAGTTCGAGGAGTTGGCAAAATTCAGAGTGCGGCAAGTCGGAGTATTTAACAGAGAACCATCGATTTGTGCTCGAATCGAGTGGTCAAGCAGCCGCATGCCTCGCAGGCCAAGCGGTGGTGCACTTCAGGTCTGGTATTCCCCACTCCAACCGAACCACTGGTCAGGCCACCATCTCATGCTGTAGGATTCCTACCTCGGGGAACCCGCATCCAGTTGAGAAATCAACCGTGTCGGCGGAGGTGGCCGCCAGTGCGCGCACGTCATATCCAGCCCTGGTCAGGGTGCCCTATCGGTACTTTCATATGAGGTTCCACGAGGGTAGAACTCTTGAAGCAATGCTGCAAGAGCTGAAGGACCTCCGCTAAGCAAATTTTAGGGTTGCCTCATTATAAGCCCGTAATTAAGCCTGATACGGGAGATGACCATGGCGAACGTCTCACCGTCCCCCTCCGTAGACATACAGAGCGACACCGCCACCTCCAGTTGTAGGCAAGCCTCAAACAGTATTGGAGCTCTATGGGCTAGCACCCGCTGCGCCAGGGGAGGGAGTCCTCCCGGCGCTAGCAGGCACCTCGATGAGACACCCCGACCATCACGAGAAGGCCAAAGAACCACCGCGTGAACAGCCGACCGTGGAGCAAGAATCGAAGGATCCGAGCCTGTGTCTGAACACATAACGTGCCTGCTAGCCGGGCAGTCGTGGGTACCGCCTAAGTTGCCTCTCAATACCCCAGCCGTGACTAAGGACGTATATGGGAGGAACAGCAGGTGGCAAAGGAGAAATTCGCCGCGTTACTAGCCAGCAATCTGGAGGAAGCCGATCTTCTCTGCGCAGCTGACATGCTCAGTGCGCTTTCCCCCAACACGGCAGCGGTAGCCATTAAGATCCCGCTGCGCAACCTCTCGCAACTGTTATCCTGGCCAGCCTGCCTCAATGCCATGCGGGTAACGGAGGCGGCTGACCCTAACTTTTCCTTGGAAAAGTTCCGTACCACTATGCTGGTCGCGGCACTACGGCCATGTAGCACAGTTCTTTACCCGACACCTGCAACAACTGAAAGAGCTCAAGTCAGTCAAAGAGCGCCGTGCCAGCCTTCTGATGCTCGTTGACCCCGCGTTCTGGGAAGCGGTGTTGTTGGAGGCCATGCAGCATTTCCAAAACACTGCACTTGGTAGGGCTCGACTGGCGCATGTCTACACAGTAGGCGAAGGGCATGATCAACGCATCGACAGATTGTACGTGCACCTTCCGCCTATCGCTGGCATAGTCCTCTTGCACAGTTTTACTCCGCGAGCAGCAAAAAGAGAATGAGCTGTGGCAGGCACATGCCTTCCAGCTGAAGGGGAAACCCACAAGTATGGAAAAGTCCCTCCCAGCAGGGTTAGCGGGCAAGATGCGAGTTATACACACTTTGCCTCCTCATCTAGAGAGGGCGACGATGGAAGCGATCCACAACTCCCTTCAAGTGAGCCATGTCTGGATCGCCAAATTCGTCAAATTGCCCAAAGACACTGTTGGGTCCTTCATTATGACATTCCACACTGATGCGGTCGCGGACCTGCTCGGTGTGGAAGAAGCTAATCCAAGGGGAGAACCCCAGCAGGAAGAGGACCCTGCTGGAGGGCCAATCAACCAGGCAGAGGTCCAGCCGTCCATGCCAAGCTCGCCGTCAAGTCATCTTCCCAGTGGGTCGGCTGGGCCTTCTTCAGGACATGATCGCGCGCCAAGTCAAGCAGGAACGGAGGGCAGCACAAGTCAGACGAGCCGAAGAGGTAAGCGAAAAAAGAAGGAGCAAATGCAGGACCATACGCATACCACCGTGCCGTCGTCTTTCTACTTGCCCTATCGAGAACTAGTACATAGAGCGGCGTTAGCCCTGAAGACATGCGAGGCTGTTCAGTATCTATAAAATCCCAAAGGAATGCGAGCCATCCGTGCTAGCCCCCCCGAATCTCCCAGCTCTTCAGCCGTTCGTGCCGGTCTTGAACTGGCGAGGCACAAATTCGGTTTTTATCAAGAAGATAAGCGCCCTCCAATATGTTAAAGACCTGCAAGCGCGGACCCAGAAGGGTCTCACCGTCTTTGAAAAACTAAGGCGCTGCTACTCAATGGCACTTGGCTATGATGAACCTCAGCAGGATGCTTGGAGGCAACAACATTATGAAAGGGGGTTCTACAACTCCCACCACTCGTCGAAGCCGAGGGCAGTAGAGCCGTTGGGAGAGTTTCTTCGCAAGTATGGAGGTATGAGTACCTTGCCCCACTTCTTAAGCCAAAGTACTGGAAAGCCGTGATAGGCCCTCATCGTGGCGAAGAGTTCCATGTTGTTTGAGGCCGGCTGCTCCATTGCTGGACTGTGTTGTGGTCAGCGGGGTTAATGCCCAAAGCTGTCACTGTAACCTCCAGAGCCGCGTCGTTTTGCAGCGAAAAGGGCTGCAAGAGGGTTGGCCCCGATGTTTGCGCATCTGCGTCAACCCCCGTGCGGGCCGCTTCATCTGCGTCCGGTGCCTCCGCTGGCGTCGTCAAGCCACTATGGTCACTATGGGCTGGCGTCGGCGTACTCCTCTTTCCCTGTCCCTGCCTCCAACACAGGTTCTGTGCAGCTTCGTGTTGCTGACCTGTGTGGATCTGCCTGGCGCGGTTGAGGATTGCTGTGACATCCGATGACGATGACGAAATCTGGGGCTGCTCTGCCATTGCGCCACTTCTTCGTTTGGAGTTGTGGTCAACAAGAGAATTGCGCTAATTTGGCAAAAAGTGTTGCAAAGCTGTGTTGCAGGCTTGCAGCCGATGCGCCTTTCCAACCCTTTTACAATCCACAGAACGGGCTGTTTGTCAAACCTGCTTTCGCTCCATGTCACCTAGTGGTAAGCACATTGGATGACAAATTTATCCATGCCTCAAAACAGTCTTATTCAAGTCATGTCAAAAATCATTTCTAAGAAAAGATGCGTTTCGTAAAGCTCTCACACAACATCGCTGTATGCACAACACGTACGAGAATCTGGGGCACAGGGTGAACACAGCCCGTTGGTAGGGGCAGCACATCACGAACAATTCCAGCCCCGCAAAGCGCGGCAGAAAGAGTGAGCTGGTTTGGACTCACCCCGCGCCAAGTGAATTTTCATCACCATAAAAAAAACATAGTCAAGTTCCTAACAGCTCCGACTCAAGCGTCGCTGACGGCACGTACCCCTGTAAATTAAGGAAGACCACAATGGGGTGAACCCATCATCGTGTCTGTGCACTCTATGTCACATTTTAGTTGTGCATTGGAACCTTGGGCCTGCTCGAACCTGGCCAGACACAACAGGATTTGATTTGCTTGCCTGGCACGCGTTCGTGCCACAAGGATGTGACCAGAAAGCTCTCGAGCAGCGACACCAAAGCAATTATGAACATTATGCAATAGAAAGAAGAGCACCCACGGTTTAACGGTTTAACGACTAAATTAGAAAATGAACCGCACATGGTAGGAGTCATTATCCACAAATCCATTCCCCATTCCCGTACAGTTCAACCAAGGGTTTTTAGCTTGCACCAAACTGCTCTAAACAAGTAAGAGACTTTTTGGTAGGAACTGATTGGGAGTGCGAAGGGTCTGCGCGGAGCTTTGATGCCCACCTTTATATAGTTTGCGAGCAGGTCGCGCCCTGTGTGTTCACGAGTTGTGCGAACAGAGCAGGGTGAAGTGTATTGCTGCAAGGCACGCTACGTGCGACAATTTTTTTCCCATGTAATTTGACGTGCTTTGGGCGATGCCAAGCCTGCAAGGAAACAGCGTTCTCATTTGTGCATGCGATGATTCAACCTCTGCAGGCGGTTTCTGCTTAGCTCGCCTGCCCACACATTCTTTTCGTCCGACAGGTGTGTAAGCACAAGGCGCACGTTGCTGTGCGCTGACCAGGTTGCAACAATTTTCAGAAACCCGAACCGGATGAGGGGTTCTGCGGTGGTTCCGTGGTCCTCGTGGTCTTCTAGTCCTGGTCCTGAGGTCCCTTGGTCTTTGGTCTCGTGGTCCGGTTTCCAGCATCAGCTCATCATTCATTTGCAAATCGGACGTACCACGAAAACGAGCGTAAAAAACTGATGAGCAATAAAAAGCAGTCAAAAACTTGACTAGCATCAACAACAGTTGAATGTGCTACGACAAGCGAACGTAAACAGATCCGGCAGTTCCGGTCCTCTGGTCCTATGGTGTCCGTTGGTCATGTGGTCCTGCGGGCCTGTGGTCCTCTACTCCATCGATTCTCTGGTGCTAAAGTCTGCTAAAGTTCTAAATTCTGAATCACAGAGAAACCTCAGAATGTTGTAGTCCCCAACGTTCATGGTATGTAAGATGCTGCAAGATTTCTTTGATTGCCATTCCCTAGTAACCCAGGGACTGTAACCCTAAATTCCAAACTGGCCATAGTTGCTTTTAGACCCTCGGATCCTTTTCGACTTTGAAAAATGTCAACAGTCACAACAACCGTGGGGATCGGGGCCGCGATTCTCGTGAATGTCGTTATTGTGAGACCCTCGGAGCTTTTTGGGCCATGGATGCTTGTTTTAAGGCCACCCTGTACGTAATCAGAAAGAAACATGGTGCCATCAGTGCCTTCCTTTACTGTTTGCAGTAAGGGAAGGTGGTGGTGCGGCTCATTTAAGCAAACGCTGCAAGTTACAGCATGTGAAGCGTTCCAAGACCAGCAGATACTGTCAGTTACAGCACTTGAAACTTTCCAAGACTGGCCAACACCATGATTTACAGTGTTTGAAACCAAGACGAGCGCACGCTGTAATTCACAGCGTGTGAAGCGTTCCAAGACCAGCAAATGCTGTGATGTACCGTGTTTGAAAATTTCCAAGACCAGCAGTTAATGCAATTTACAGCATTTGAAACATTCCAAAACCAAAAAAGAAAAAGCCCGAGCCACACCTTTGCAAAAAAACGCTCCGTCTATGTGGGGCTTCGTTCTGTTGGTTGGGGGTGGGCAAACATGGTTTGGCCTGTTCAAGCAGACGTTTCCCGTGAACGATTGGAAATTGGAATACATGTAACATGTTTGCGGGACTTTGTTTGCATATTGGCCATGAAATCTTGAGTGATGCCTTTTCCGATTTGTTGTTCGGTCTTGTTGCCACGATAGTGAGAACCAACCAACGTTTGGTTTATTGTTGGCGATTTTGTGAACTTCGATGCGTCGTCTCACTCAACAAATAGGTGCTTCACGTGTAAATGGGTTTTAGTCTACAATGGCAAATTTTCGAGCAGTGTATCAATCATTTAGCCGACGGTTGTGGCTCAAGTTTGGCATGAAAAGGTTCCTTGTGTCACTGAGTTGTCAAGCTCAGAAATAGTTTGCTCTCCTAGTCGTGTACACAGGGAACCTCAGAAATAGTTTGCTCTGATAGTCGCGTGAGTGCTTCGCTGGATTGTTACATTGTTCCTACGTGTCCGAACGTGCGCTATTCAACATGGAGTGTTTCACAAACACCGGAGTTTAGAGCCCGATCAAAACTGGACATTGTAGTGCCGTGGGGAAGCATGTAGTGTTCGTAGGACAAGGCCTCGGCATGGGCAAACCACAACGAGGCAACTCACATATTCGTGCGTTTAGTTGCAACCAACCCGTATGGAATGCGTAAGGCCGGAGGTTTTATTGAAGTAGCGGAATGCGAGCAAGGCCTAGGTTGAGGAGATGTTGTTTTGTTGCAGATGCATTTCGCTTTTGATTCATAAAACCAACCTTGAGGGTGTGAGGAGCATAGCTGGCAAGATCAAAAATCAGGAAGTGACGAACACATATACGTAGTTCAACAACAAGTCCGATTGGTGGCAGCACATTTCATTGACAAGTTGAAGTTAACAATGTCATGCTGCATGGGGTTCTTGGCCTCCAATTTTGCAGGTTGAGACAACATGAGCTTTGAACTTACACCAGATTTTTAGTTGTTTTCATTGTAATGTGGGACAGCTTTGTCTAATTCATGCAGATTCCTGGACTTGGAAGTCTGAGGCCATCCTCCTGCAGATCAAACTGCGGCATTGAAGACACTCCAGCGGAGGATATCTTCGTCTCCAAATCTTGTATGGAGCACTGCTAAGTTTGCACCTATACTGCATTTGTTTGATGGGAGTTTATGATGCGCACCCAAGGCTTCGGAATTTGGTTCGGTGCGATACCGGTGAAGGGGTCGAATGCTGAAATGCTCGCCGCATGTGCATTTGTGTGAAAAGCTTTTGAAACTTGTTTCCCGGATTTTAGAGCAGGCTGGTCCGCAGGCGTTGGCGTCCACGTTAATTGGCCTTTATTTTTCGGCATCCTGGTGCCTAGGTTGAAATGGTTGTTTAGGTTGTTGAGAAGTACGAAATATTCCCTGCTCATTACACAGCGAAATGCAGCCAAGGTGTCCACCTTGTCATTATTTTGGACCGATCTTGGCCCAAGCGTACAAACAGATCCGGGAAACTCATGGTGGGTGCCCCAGACAGGCTACTTGAGCAGCATGAGATTTGAGGGTGTGCTTGAGGTCCAAGTTCCTTCGAAGTCGTTCTGATTCCGCTGGACACGGACGAGGATGTTTTTTTGTCCATTCGACATGGCCCATTTCCATGTGAAATCGTAATGATAATTTTTTGTTGCAGAACCTGTGGCAACTACACATGGCAAAGATGCCATGGATGTCTGTTCCGTGTGCTCCTCAGTTAGACTGGAACTGGTGGTCTTAGATTTTGCGCTAAGCGCTGCTGGCAGCCTTTGAATGCTCTTAGAAAGCAGCTTCGAAGGAGCAGTTTACAGTGGTTCACGGGCGCCTTGTGCAGATGCCGTATGAAAGTGGTTAAAGATGCATGTAGCAGTGTACCGTGAGATCCGTGTGTCTTAAGTAAAAATGCCATGGCCGGACAGGTCCGCGACGAAACGGGTAGTTGCCCTTGGCCTGCTGTATTGTCTCGGAAATCGCACCTGTTTGTTCGGAAACCTTTTACGACCATCTGAGAGTCGAGTGCAGCGAGTGCAGCTCCATGCCGAGGAGGAGACTCTGAAACGCTTGGGTCGTGTTAGTCGTGTTCCATCTAGGCCACCGAGCGAGGAATCAGAGGAAGGCTCGCTCATGGGGGCTGTGGGTGGATCTGTCCTTGGTGGGCTGCTGCTAGGTCCTTTCGGGGCAGTTTTTGGTGCAAGTCTCGGTTCCGACTGGGGCCGCCAGAACGCGGGACAGGCTTCCGTAGATGCCCTCGGGTTGGATGCAGACATGATCAACTTGGCGAAAACTGTAGCAAGGAATTTGGCAGATGCTGTGGAGGACAAAAAGCGTGTTACAGCAGTGAAGGATGATTTGGCGGCCAACATTGTCAAAATGGAAGCTGACGTTGACAATCTTTCTGCTGATGCCATGGCAGCTCTGCAAAATGATGATGAAGATGCTGCCCGTGCGATCTTGGAGAAGAAGGTGCCTTTGCAACAGCGGCTGAGCTCGTCAAAGGAGGAGCTGCGGAAAGCTCTTCACAGGGTGTCCACGGTTGAAGCTGCTGTGAAGCGGCTCGAAGGGGAAGCACTCAAGGTGGCAAACCTGCTAGAACGTGCGCAGGCCGCTACAGGATCGGAGCGCACTGCCTTGGCCGATGAAGCGTCCGCGATGACAGTAAAGGATCCGCTTCTTGACAAGTTCGACAGATTAGAGAGGGAGGGCTATTGATGCTGCATCGGTGCGGACAAAATCGCGTCTAGATTCTCTGCGTTTGCCTGCGTGTGTCTGCCATGCTAGGCTTTTTGTATCACGCATGGCATAGCGTGAACTTACCTCTCGAGGACTTGCCAAACAAGTCAATCTTGATGTCTTTGAATCTGACAGTCGCCACGGCGAGCTGGTAGGTTCACATACTCACTGCATGAGCAAACCCTTGAGGTGACGAGTCTACAGTGGCAAAGGGTGAGAGCTCCACCCAAATCTGCGCACCATTACAACAAGCTCTAGCAAACTCGGATCAACGCACCTCAGCATTTGGTGCCAATAATGCTCAGGCTCACCGCAGATGGTGCGACAAATGGTCTTCCGCTATCTGACCCAAATAGACATGGCACCCCCGGTGGCCACCATGAAGCCAACGTTTCTATTCTTCCGGGCAAAATCTTTGATAGTTTCAGTTGTATGGTCATCATGCGGTGGACTTCGTCACGGAACTCATGACCGGAACCGAGAGAATCTTGGGTAGTGCCATCGCCTCCATGATTCCCTAAGAGCATGTTCAACTAATTTGGGGTCGGTGTCAAGATTGTACGTGTAGCTACCGAAAGTCCGCCCTTACTTTGCTATCCCAATTCTTCGCAGGGACCAGGCCTTAGCAGTAAACTGCAGAACAGCACGCCATTTTGACAAACTGGGCTCCAACGTGAGCTGTGATCTTAACAAGTCAATCAGTAGCCGGCAGGGGAGCATTTCCACTTGCCGGGCTTACGCTTGAATGAGGAAACGTTTCGATTCTACATCAGCTCTTGCAAGGCTGAAAAACAGGGAAGCCATTGTGAAGCTCTTCACGACATTCTGCGTAACTGAGGCATGGACACTTGTGTATGCCTCCTAGCAAGCATGTGCTGGCAATAACTGCAGGCCCCGCGTTTGGTGATACTTGACTCAGCAGGCACGGCGCGCCTGACATGTTTGGGCAACCTGCGGCAGCTGGCGGTAATCGTGTGACTGCCAGGTCATTTCTGAGAATGCCCGCGGTGGAGAAGGCGCTGGAGCAAAATCTGGTTGTCGTGTCTTTTCAAGAGTACCCGGGATCATGCGCTTTTTTGCGGCAATTGCTCAGTCAGGGATCTGGCTCCAGAAGTGATGGCGGATCTTTGAGGTTATGTAGGTAAGCTTTCACTTGGGTACCCAGGCTAGCATTTTCCCGGGACAAAATCAATGATAAGACAAAGTCATACCATGGCCTCAGGCCACTGCCAGTCTTGAGAACGTGACCTGTGCCAAATGTGAGCCTTCATGCCCGTACAGTCTCATGGCTGGCTCCAATGCAAGCTCCAGAGGTGCTGGCTCAGATTTCAGTTTGCGTGCATGTTGGCATCTTGCGTTGTATGTTGTTCTACCTTGCAGCAAGGGCACGTAGCTTGGTGGGTCCGAACAAGGCTACGCCACATGGTCGAACTGGACAAGCGCGCTGGGCCTCTCTGAGGAGCAGACAGGGACAATCCAGCGCGCCGGCAATAAGTTCCTCAAGGCTGCCTGTGCTACATCGGTATGGCTGCTCGTGCATGAAATCTCTCCAGCCAAAAGGTGAACCCATACCTGTTTGTGCAGGCTGTCGATGTGGCCAAGAGCCATGCGGAGAAAGGCTTCACCCAAGGACCTGCACCACATTGTTCTGCATACAGGCATGTGGCGTCGGCAACCAGCTAGACATCAGGAGTATCCCAAGTTCGTGCGGCAGTGGATCGACAAATGTCAAGTACTGCAAGCTCGTCACAGACCCATCGCTGGTTTGGAAAGCAACCGTCAAGACATGATTTGCCCAGCAGCAGCGTGGATGAAATAGCTCTACATTCGGGAGACTATGATGTTGCATGACCTGTAACTTCCCACTTGGTTTGAGCAGGTGCCGTGAGTGTCCGCGTTTGTACTTGGAACCTCCATGGTTGTGCGATCGATCCGGAAGATGACATTCGACCATGGCTCTTCCCCGCCGGTAAGCAAGCTGACGTCTACATCATTGGTATACAGGAGTCGGCCTATGTTTGCAGTCCATTTGTTTGTCCTGTGTCCAGTTTGCTCCTGCTGACGAGGAACTTGTGGAGCTTGGGCCAATGTCTGTGATACTAAACACAGACGGACATGAAGAGAGGCAATCCGAACTCGAGCACCGGATCGAGGCTGGCATTACACTGTGGTGCTTGCCGTGAGCGCTGGTGGCTGCGGCACCTGTACTTGGTGTAGGCTGCCCTTGCCTCGACTGGACTTCAGTATTTGAAAATCTGTGGCGGCCTGGATCAAGGTTTGATATCGAACCCCAAAGCTCTGAAGAATAGTAGCGTGCTCAGGCTTTGGCATGGTTGGCCTTTCGTTGCTGGCCTATGCATCTGACAGCTTGCAAGAGCACATCGGTGAGATCGATTGCGATCGAGTGAAAACGGGCATTGAAGGTTTGAGCGGGAACAAGGGTGGCTTGTGTGTCAGATTCTTGCTGGGATCCATGTCGCTTTGCTTTGTCAACGTTCACCTGCCATCGGGGACTGGCAAAGCAGATGAGCGAAATGACCACTTGAATGAGGCAGGAAGTATGCGCCTGCCCAACATTCATTTTCTGCTCTGGGGAGTGGCCCTGACCCTGCAGGTTTTGTCCTATGCGTTTAAAGGGACTTCTCGAAATGGCTCCACGCGACCTCCAAAGAACGGCTTTCATCGAGCCTCTGTGTACACGGCTGTCAACCACGATCTGACTGTCGTGCTCGGTGACCTGAACTCTCGCCTAGCAGACCTACCAAATGCAGATGGCTTCCCGAAAGGACAGCTCTCCGCACAGCCAGCCTTCCCTTGACCCTGCCTCCCTCTGCCAGGACCGCCTGAAGCATGGCTGTGCCTCGCCTGCAGTTGGCACAAGGTGTGAGTAAAGGAGTGACTTTGTACGGCAGCGGCAGGCTGTTTGATGAGCTTCTGACTGGAAGAATCAAATGTGCCAGCTACTCTGCTTGCACTTGGATGGATTTTAACTGTCAAAAACTGTTCAGATCCTGCATCGCAATGCAGGATCCTTGGGCTTCCGTGAGGCCGGTAGCGCTTTACTCTTGGGAGTGCATGGCTGTGTGAAAATTCTGTGCATCAGGCAGAGGTCACCTTCCCTCCGACCTATAAGCAGCTGAACTCTAATCAAAGACCACATGAACTGAGGGCTAAACGGCTACACACTTGCTGCGCTTGCTTCTGTCCGGCAAGGTACATGGTTGGGGGTGACGATTTGAGTCCGTCTCGCACACCAGCCTGGTGTGACCGAGTCATTTACAGATTTCAGCCCTCCGCTCCTCGGGTTTGTTTTAGTTTTTGCTTTCACATGGTTGCGTCTGAAGATCTTTATTTGACCTGGGCAACCAGGCTGACGATGTCGCGCAGAGGGTCTTGAACCCCATGGCCCAGCCTGAGGTTCCGAGCATGTCTCAAGTTGGATTTCAATTGGGACCAGAGACTTGAGGTAGAGCTTGTGGAGTACGATTCGTATGCGGATTTGAGAAGGAGCGCCCTTGTAGATATCACAGGAGCTGGCTGTCATCAGACTTTGGACTCTCTTGTGCGTTTGTCGTTGACACATCGCAGTTTTTGCCGAGGACCAGCGATCACCGCCCCATAGCGGCTACTTTCATGAAGTGGGCAGATGCATGCCTCAAAGCTTTGGCAATCGACAAATCCGAGGCCACCTTCAGGATTATTCCGGACGAAGAGTTGGCTTGAGCTTGGTTGCGTGCATCAGTTTCTTTGCTGTGAAGGGATTCTTGGGATCCGCCAATCTCCGAAGGGGAAGGCGCTGTGAACTGCGACATGCGCAGACAAGCTGCCAAAGATGCTCTTGTCGCAGAGATGAAAGCGTTGTTCCAAACTGGCGTCAGCCAGAAAGGTGTGAAGAGTAGGCTGCGAGGGTGCTCCCATGACGGCTTTTGTGATTCGGCATCTAGAATCATGGTAACCACCTTTGTCTGGTTGGTTTGGTTGACACGTTTGTTCCACAGGAGGCAGTGTGGTAAGATGTGCATAGGAAACCCAGAAGGCTTTCGTAAGGCAAGCTTCACAGGTGTAGCAGTGGTCTCCATGAGTAAGGGCAAGTTCCATGGGGCTTTCGCAACTCCAAAGTTTTCGGGTCTTTCTGTGAAGTGAGCGCTCATGCATGCTTTGGGCTATGCTGGTGATGCTCCTTGCTGCATGCATTGTGACCTGCAGCTTTGTCTGCAAATGCTGTGAGGCTTCGGCTTCGGATGCGATCCCTTGCGTGCTTATGACAAGTTAGTGGAGGACAGGCTCTGTGGCTGACTGCAAGAAAAATAACATGCAGTTGGCTGCTTGTTCTCCTCGAGGATCTTGCAAAGGCCGAAGCTGAAAGGAAGGAGCAAGTACTTTGACCATACCCTCGATGAGGGTGGAGGTGCATTTTTTGCTGGGCCCCTGTGAGTGGGGAGCACGGGCATGTCTTCTACTGGAGAAGTGCTTGGTCGTGCAGCATGGTGTTTTGCACACAAGAAGTAGAAAGAACATTGCACAAGCTCCTGCGTGTCTTGCACGACTGGAACCACTAAGCGGATGTAGAACCTATTCGTGGGCTGTTTTTGGACAAGTTTGATGGTCCCGAAGTCATTCTGAACAGGATCCTGCTTCTGTGCTCCCTTGCATGATTGTCCTTGCCGGAGAGACTTTATGATGTTCTTACCGTCAAGATGCAACCTCACCCTCATGGGTCGAAAAGAGCTCAGCAGTTCTCTGCATTAAAGCACGACCTGCGTCAGGTGCTGCGTCCACCCCGAAGTGACTTCATCCCGCTCGACAACAATCAAGGCAAGCATGAATCAACTCCGTCACGTGATTGTTTATTTGATCTGATTGGCCATCTTTGCTTTTTTGAATTGGGGGTAGCGTTTCAAACAAGCCTTGTGCCGCAAATGTTTGGGCTTCACAAGGGTAGTCCTGCAGACCAAGAAGTTTTTCTGACAACCTGGCACTTGCAGAGCCTCAACATGGGGCGGCGCTTGATTCCCAGTTTACTTGCCTCTGCTGTATTGATCTAGTCCAAGGACGGGTTTGGATAGGCTGCACTATCAGAACCCTAAGGTCCAGCGAAGTGCTACAGGTACAACAAGAACAAGCCGTACCCGAAGACCCGCTATTGCCGAGGTGTGCCTGACCCGAAGATCCGAATTTTCGATGTTGGAAAGAAGAAGATGCCGTGCGATGAGTACCCCACCACAGCACACTTGGTTTGTGATGAGGACCAGCAGTTGACCAGTGAGGCTTTGGAGGCAGCACGCATTGCCGTCAACAAGTACATGATCACCAACGCTGGCCGAGATTTCTTCCACATTCGCATGCGACCCCACCCTTTCAACGTGCTGCGCATCAACAAGACTTTGTCTTGCGCTGGTGCAGATCGCTTGTCAAGCGGAATGCGAGGGGCCTTCGGGAAGCCTTATGGCACAGCAGCCCGTGTGGACATCGGCCAGGTCCTCATTTCTGTGCGCACCAAAGATGAGAAGATCAACATCGCGGTCGAGGCGTTGCGCCGTGCCAAGTTCAAGTTTGCTGGCCGCCAGAAGGTGCACATTTCGAACAAGTTCGGCTTCACCCGCTTCACAAAGAAGGAGTACCACAGCTGGAAGGCACAGGGCCGCCTCATCCCGGATGGTACCAATGTGCGCTGGCTTTCGAGCCGCGGCCCTCTGTGGCGACTGATTGGCCGCGAGAACGCCTGAGTGCTTCCATGAGTGAGGTGCAAGGTTTGCAAGGCCAAATTCCAGAGTGCCATTGGGCTTTGAATATACTGTCAACAAAGACGTAATATGCAATATGTTGCCGCAAGTGAACTTTTCATGGCTGGACTTGGTCTCAAGACTTGTCACCAGTGTTGCCAGACCTAGTTTCGATGCACAGTGGAGCTGGAGGTGTTCTGGCATGCCCTTGGTGCGGTTGGGATTAAAGCTTAGCGATTCGGTCCTGCGGCAGTTTGCAGATATTTGAAGATGTATACTGTAGTCACCGGGCATCGTTTGCGACATGCCATGGCCAGGTTCGACTTGGAACCGCACAGCGAGGAAGGTGCAGCACATTTGACTGGACTAGTCAAGTCATGCTTTTTTGCCTGCTTAGTCGTTTGAGGAACTGTTGTCCTTGAATGCGTGTGCAGCCTGCGAGGCTCGGGGGAGAGCTAGGAGCATGGGGTGCCTTCGTTGTAGAGATGCGGAGAATACCGTGGTGCTGGGCCGGCTTCCATTCAGGGCTTTGACATGCGCACCAAAAGATGCAGCTGGATTACGTACCTGCAAGGTCTTGCTACAGTTTTGGTGATTCTTGTCACTCTACAATACCTCAATCCGTCTCCCGTGGAGCATGAAGTTCCGAGAGCTAGCACTTCTGCGCAAGCAAGTGACGGCTCAACGGCTGAGCGCCTGAAGGTAGAGCCAAAGGCAGAGCCAAAAGTAGAGCCAAAGCCAGAGCTTTTGGATTTGTCGGGTGAGCGTGGTGGAGATGCGTTGGTACAGCCCCGCGTTGTGGCCGAGCGGCAAGACCTGGTTGCCTGGATTACTGGCATTGCAACCTACCAGGAGGTGGATGCTATGAAGTTGTTGCGTGCAACATTAGCAGCAGGCCGAGATGCCCTTACCATCACCCGTCAAGTGCAGAAACTTAGACCTGATGGCTGGATGTTCTGTGTTCAGGAAGGTGAAATCTGTCATTGTGAAGGCCAAACTCGCTACGGAGATTTTGACCTGGACCAATGGGTTGAGAAAAAGGACTTTAAGTCACCAATTCTTTGCCATCACAGTCAGTATGGGTTGAAACCTGAGCAGGATTTCTCGCCTGGCAAGTTGAAGTATTGCCAGTGCAAGGCTGCAGTTCCCAAGTGTCCCAGTGGGCAACCCTTTCGGCCTGAAAATTGCCCAAATGGTGCCAGCAAGGCCTGCAGGGCCGGATGTTTACCTAGGATGCCCAGAACATTCTCCGTTGCAAACCAACGATCCAAGCTTTGCTCTAAGGCAGAACCAAACGAGCTCCTCTGGTCATGCGATCACAAAAGATCCTTGAAACCCCGCAAAGCCCATGCGCACAGTGACGCCGAAGATTTGTTTGAACGAGCAATGGCCAAAACCTGTGAGGATCCTCAGCTTGTGGGGGAAGTCGAGGTATGGTTGGAGTGTGACTTTGTGTCTCAGTTCCTTCGCTGGACCAGCAGTGCATCGCCTTGGATCGAGGAAGCGTATGTAACGTATGTCGGGGGTCCAAAAGACAGCAACTATGAATGGCAAGCAACAAACTTGATCCGATCTATAGACCTGTTCTCGACCCGACCGCTTGTGATCGTTATCTTTGGAGATCAGTTCGTTCCTCCTTCTGCCTGGCAGTCTATGCGAAATGTTATTGCATACCGTATGCGACCCATCTCACGAGGAGTCTCCTTTAACTTCAACAAGGTTCGGTCCATCCTTGCGTCGCGAGTGTTGGTAGGTATTCAGCTGGACACGGATCAGCTGATTTTCAAGGGCATGGACCAGGTCTTTGAGGGTACGCGCCGAGAGATCAACGAGTTTTATCCTTGGCCAATCCTACCAGTTCACTGGATGTCTAGAGACGACACACCCGGAAATCCTTATGCACATTATGCCTTCAAGGGCTGGGATGGCCCTCAAAGCATGCGCTGGTGTCATGCACATCCAACATGGACCTATTTTGCACTGCCCTGGTTTGGTGACCTCATGCATGAACGTATGCTGGCCGCCACTGGAAGAAAAACTTCCACAATGGTTTTTGACTTGGAGCAGGTTCGTCAAACTGGCATAAGCGTCTTGACTCTTGTTCGCAAAGGGGAAAAAGCAAAAATCAAACGACATGTTGAGATGAGCAACGCAATGTGGGAGGATGAAGATATGATGAATGTGAATCTTTGGCGACATAAGGTAAACAATTCATGGTGCAAGTTTGATCTGGAGCCAAATTTGTTCCTCCTTAGGCGAAGCTTGGACAAAAGAATGTACTTTGATCCAAAGTGGTATCCCGATGGCATGCCCATCTTGTTTTTGTCTATCCACAACACGAAGAACTTTGACCCTGCAGATGTCCTCCTTCGCTTAATGGAGCTCTGCCAGAACGGCCTAGAGGACCTGGAGTGTCCGGCGAAGGAGTCAGAGTTCATGATGCCGATTTGCCGCGTGGGCGTTCTGCAAGAGCGTGAGCTGCGCTTGTCAACGCAGGACTATACAGCCAAGGCCTGCTGTTGCTTGGAGCCACGTTGGTCTCATCCAGTCTTTTGGAGTGGTCGCTGGTATGCAAGTCTGGGAGAGGTACCTGACACTGCGCACGATGGTGGTGCAAAGAGAAAATGCCTAGTACCCTGATACAAGTTTTGGCCGTGCCTTTGAACAGTCGAACTTGGGATCCCGCGCACAGCGCGTGCCTGGAGGGAGGATTCAACGAAATACGATCAACAACGAAAGCATGCCACCGCCGCCCAGAGAAGAACATGTACAACAAGGAGACTGTCCAGGTCTCGGCTTCAGCCCGGGAATCTCAGAGACAGAGCACTTTGCTGGCAAGAGAAGAAGCCAAGCCATGTAAAACCTGGAGCACCTTGCACTGCAGACATGTTGATTGCTAGGCATGCGCTGAATACAGGCTATTTGAGTATGCTGAAATTAGAGCTTTCGCGAATCAACTGTAGCTGCATGTCACATAGGTTTCATAGGTTTGTTGCATTCATAGCCAAAGTTTTGTGGTTAGGCAGGATTCGGATGGTTTGGCCACTTTCTTTTCGTGCTGTCCTTGTGTTTACTTAAAGCTGTTTTAATGTCATTGGTAGACCCAAAAAAGGTCTCCGCCTATTGCTTGCTTAGACCTACGAAGCTGCGCTGGATATTGAGCTTGGCCTTTGCCGAAAGGTATGTTTTGCTGCACTGCGTTGTAATGTGTTCATGCATGGGCTTGAATGGCTTGGGAATGAAATCGAACAACTAAGTCCTTGGCATCATTTGACAGTTTGTTTGACTTCAGGAAGCTCTGAGCCGAGATGGTGATGAGTGACGGGCCGCACAAGTTCTCTGCAGAGACATGGCCAAACCTGGCAGATTCTGCCAGCATAGACTGAAGCCTGCGCAGGAAATGGTGTGCCGCATGTCGAGGGTACATTTCATTGTGCACTGCACCTTGCTACACCGAGCGCTTGGATCAAGACCATACATGCAATTTTGCTTTTCCCCCTCTGCCCTGTAGCTGCTAGGATCTTAGTTTCTGGAAAGCATTCCTGCCCTTGTCAAAAGCAGTTCCGTTCAGGACTGACCAGGCAGCGCTCCTGGCATGGCTGACGGCCATGATGCCTTCACAAGGTCAGCCTGAGACTAGGGGATTTCAAGCCCACAGAAGCTCCGTTGTGTTGCCAAACCTGCAGGCCGCCGCCCCACAGTGACACGGCCTGGCAGGTGGCCAAGAGCCAGTCGCAACAGGTTCAAGTTGAATTTCAGGGTTTCTTGGGCAGGTAGCAGTGGCTCTGCAAGACATGAAGTTCTCTGCCGCGCATTTTGTCGCCTTTGACGGCTTCCGAGAACCTCTTCATGGTGCAAGCCCCAGGATGAGAGAAAAGAGGAGATCTTCCTCAACGATGTTTCCAGGGAACAGACTTCTCATCTCCAGGCCACAACTACACAGTGGGCGCACGAATCGGCTCCAGGCGGCTTCAGGCCAGGCGCACGTGGCAACTCTGTTGATCCGACATATCCGATTTGTTTGTTGGATTACACTTCCGAAATTTATGGCTTCGTCCTGATCAATCTCGTGTTGACCCCAGGGAGATCAGCATGTAGAGAAGCCAATGAACAACTGTCTGATTCCGTTGCCAAAGCAACCCTCAGAATGTTTGCATGTTCTGTAAGAGAAATGCGTGCATCTCCTAATGGGTCAAAAGCAGCTCGTCGTGAGGGGAGCTTCGAGCCTGCTTGTCTTTTCGTGGTTCGGAAGTGCTTCAACGCTGCTGGCTTCGTGTACGTCCGCGGTTGGTCAACTGTTCTGATTCCTTTGAAACTTTGTTGTCCAATTCCCTGCCCTCGCAGCGGGAGGGCTGCTGATAGAGCTTCTTCTGTGATACTGCCGAACCTTGAAACGCGAATGATGCAAAGCGATCCGTTCAGGCGCTTTCGCGCTCCGTTCCCTTGATCTTGGCTTCCATTAGCGAAGAACCTGTATTACCGTAAATTTCTCTTCTCAACTTTGATTTGTTTCAGCACCGCTCGGCATGAGCAAGCGCAAGGCAGATGGTTATGTGGTCGATTTTGGTGACTTGAAGAAGGCATAGAAGCTCTTTGGGGCAGTGACGTAGGGTGCACGCGGTTCTGTTGCCCGCACGCAGGTCATCAGACGCATTTGCAAGGAGATGGATCAGCGGACACTTCTTCCTGCAAAGAGTGATGTCATGTCCTTCCAGCAGGCCTGGCCGGGTGAACGCCTCCCAAATCATGTTCTTGGAATTCACTGATGCAAGGACACAGACTCGGAGAACTTGGAGATACAGTGTCAGGGCGGAGTTCGACTTGTGTTGCCTCGCCAGGACTTGCTGAATTTTTGCTTGGTTCTCCAGTGTCGGCAAAGCCAGACTCAGTCTTTTTGTCACAGTCGTCTTTCCCTGTCGTCTATGATTTCTGGCTTTGCACCTTTGTAATTCACTGGTGGCTTCTTCAATGGGCTGCGGAGGACTGTGTTCTGCTGCCATTGATGCACACGACGGCTGAGGACATTTTGTTTTCTTCATATGGGAATGTAGAATTACCTATTCCACATAGATCTATCAGTTGCAGTCTGGCAATTCATGGGATTGCTCCATCCCCTGTAAAACAAAGCTGAAGCAAGGCAATGTCTACATGCTGGGTCATACTTGAGTACAGCTGACTAACGTCATTTTGGAGCAACTTGTGGGAGTAAGACAAAAATAAAACTAAAATCCGAAGGCTAAGTTGGTTCAACCACTCTGTGCTTGCACCATCGTCCCTTTGCTTCTTGAACGCAGGAAGCTGGCGCTCGTAAGTCCTAAATACTACTCTGTACTTGAGTTGGCTACTCTATTTTGCCGTTACCGTGCAAAGCAAGAAAGACTGCAAGTACATGATAATAATGTGGTGCATGGAAGGAGGATTTGGTCAGGGTTTTGTTTGGAAGCGCTCCGTCGTCTTCAGATGTCTGGCGGATGAGCTGTGTGTGCAGGAGCTAGCAGAGTACATTGCTGCAGAGGCTGCATGCTGCAACTCCCGGACGTCAAGTGTGTTTTCTAGAGAGAAGGTTAGCAAAATTGGGCAGGTTATCTCGAGAATCGGCAACTTCTTGCAGAGCCGTCGGTGTGAGTGGTTGGAGGCAACGTGATTCAGGAAATGATGCGGGGGCAAGAGTAGAGCTTGAGCCCATCAGGTTCAGGTCTCCGAGCGTCCGGGGCAGGGAGCTGGGTGCCCAGCACAACTCATGGAGTGGGAGTGCGCCCTAGGCTTTGCAGTTTGATTGCGTGTGCCAGGCATGCCATATAGCAGCACTGCGACCAGACCGCGCAGCCGTTCCTGCGAATCCCTCAGCTCGGACGCGCCTGGTCTTGGTGCAACTTGCGGTGCATTCACTTTGGAAGGTTAGACTGCAAAGGCGTGCTCCGAGACCTTGTGCGCAACCTCGGATGGATGCTGCCATCCCATGCGACAGATGCCCATTGCTGGCCATGACAAGGCATAGTCCCAGTTAGCGGCATGGACGATCCAGTTGATGAGGCAGGAAATTCCAAAAGCCCCCGGCACTCTGGCATTTAGATCCCCGGCACACTTCTTTGCATCGTGTGCCCACGAAAGTGTCCAACGTCATCATTGATACTATCATTGCTCAGGAACCTCATGAATATTCAGCTACAGCTTCTGCATCCGTACGCGAGGAAAATCCCACCCTGATTTTCCAATGCTTGGTCTGACACGGTGAGACCAAAACGAAGAATGAAAAAGCAGCAACCGTTATCATCTGGTGTTCGGTTGGAACTCTGCATCCTACGTGCAAGACGTGCACCTGGCGTCTGGCCATCTTGTTGCACGTGATTCAAGACACGCAGTGTTGCAGGTCATGCGTGGGTTGTGCGGGGCCAAAAAGACTCCGCGGCCAGAAAGTTGCAGAACTGGGCTCTTTTGCAAGCCGAGGCCTAGGAGACCCAGCTCCGAGGCCTTTGGACGTTTTCCACTTTGACAGCGCTGTGCTGTGTGCAGAGTTTGCAGAGTTTGCAGAGTTTGCAGATACAGTTCGCTTCATCGAGTCGTCCCTTAGCGCTGTGAGCTGCTTGGCCATTTCTATCTCCTTAGCTTGTGGCCATCCATGTTTTTCGCAAGGCAGCAGGTCCCAGATCAGATTCCTCGGGCTCCCGGTGCTGCGCACCCACTGGCTGAGGCCATGCCAGCCTTTGCTGTTCTCAAACACCTGAGAGCAAAGAGCCCAGGAAGCCTTCCGGCAGTTGTTGTCTACGCTTGGCCCGGAGGACATCTGCATTTTATCGGCTCGTTGCATGCAAGCTTTGCTTTTGATTGTGTCTAGCAGAGGAGTCGTCGCGGCCAGAGTTGCACAAGACTCCATACCGCAGTAGCCCCAAACCGTCCCATTCTCTGAGACTCCTAACTTGCCGCCATTCTAAGCAGTTTGTCCTCAGGTGCTGCAAAAGCTTTCAGGGAGATGACTGCGGGTATCGAAATAAAGGACAAGTGTTTGCAGAGCGGAATTACAAACAGTCAGATCTGCCAGCGCTTCCTCTGTTGCCTGCAGGACCCCTTAGAAGCAGTTGGTGATGCTGTCTTCGAGGTTCACCTCAATCTTTCTGCAAGTTCCTGTTTTTGGAGTCAAGTCTGTCCTTGACGCAGCAGATGATACGCACTTTCGGTGCCAGAGCTTCATCCCGGGGTGCTTTTGATGCCAGTCTGAATCTATTTGAGATTAGGAATTTTGAGGCGAGGCTGGGCAAGATGAGTTCAGTCACATCCAACATATCAACCACCAATCATGCACAGTAGTCTCCGTAGTCCCCAACACAGATGACAAGACCTGTGGAAGTACGATTTCTGACTGAGGCTGTGCACTCCAGACTGTGAAGTCGCCCCCCAAAACAGCAAAACGGCAAAGGGTGATGACGGGCATGGCCTGCATCATTCCAAGTACCTCCGAGTATCAAGTCAGAAGGAGCCAAGCCTCTTTATCTTCAAAGACGTTGCCCAGCTGAACGGAAACGTTAGTAGTTCCGAAAAGCTGCACGTGTTTCCATCAGAATCCCATGCAGACTGCGCACATATGCAAACAAAAACAACTACAACAAGGTGCTTTTCGGGTGTCCCCAACACCAGTGCTACTCCACGAAGTTCTGATACATGCTATTGCCATTACACTTGAAGGCCGCAGCCTAGGGTGTGGAAAGACAAAGCAAGAAGGATTAAAGCTGGAGCAGCAAAGCACGCATGTGGAGGATGGGAGGGATGGGACGCTGCCAGGTGGAGGGTGCCCAGGATCTTGTGGCGGTGCGGGACTGCTGATCCTTTCGGATCCAAGGAATTAGAATCCTGAAGCATCCTGGGAATTTCTGCGCCGCTGGTGAGGATATTCCCTTTCACTCGCTGTGTGAGCACCATCTTCTGCCATTTCATGGGACCGCGCACATCGCCTACTTCCCAGATGGAAGGCTATCCAGATAAATTATCAGTGATGCATCTGAATTGACCAGAGTGCTGTATTTCCAGCTGTTTGATACGCAGGGTTCTTGGACTTTCCAAGTTTGCCAGACTTCTACAGGCCCGGGTCTTGGTGAAAGCGGTGAAAGCGTTGACGGAATTTTCTAGTGACCCGTCGCTGTCTGCTGGTGCCTTCCGCAGCTGTTTGCGCAACGTTGGGCGTAGAAAGGCTAGTTCAATAAGTAGACAGCAGCTTAGCCCGCAACAGATCTCTAGTTCTGTTCTTGCAGAACTTGAAGAACCGGGGATGGGAGTGAATCAGCGCGCTTATCATGGTCCTCGGCCGGCTGAGTGTGGCAATCCTCTGTCACATCCTCTCGAGCTGCCACTGTCTTACATTTTCTCCGGTGGCTTTGCCGCAGCTCAATCTAAGCAAGTGTGAAATCTCTGTGGCTTGCACAGGTATTCGTGCTTGCTCAATACTGTTTTAACATTTTGTTTTGTCACACGTCGCGTCTGCGGCCTCTAGCCACTCTTCTGCTCAAACACGGAAAGCTGATTGAGATTTGCTACTTGCGCCAATGTGTGTGTGTGTGTTCGCATGTCCAAATGTTTAAGCACGTTTGCTGAGTGTCATGTTGGGTGGCTCGACTAGCCATCGGAGTGCCTTGGTCCAGGTGAAGCTCTCCAAGGTCTCTTGGTTGCCTTTTCATTCCATTTGGTGGTTCATGCCGTGTTGTAATGAGCTGCTTTGAGCGAGCGCTTTTCGTTCTGGGCTATTGTATATGTTAACACATGACTTTGCTGCTCTGTTTGCCTTCATGCATAGCTTGCCGGCTCTTGCAGAGGACTCCACGGCATTGGTCGGGGGTCAAGTCGGGAATCCTGCTGTCATTGTAGTCCCAGATCTTTGGCTGAAACCATGGCGCATCCTGTGCGAATCTATTCGATGCTTCTTGTGCTGCATAATGCCACTCCGCCAAGGAGTTGCTTGGGGTCACGGAGGATGTCAGGAACCAGGCGTCTTGGTTTAGGAGGACTTTTGGGTCTTAGTTTTGATGCAACAAGATCGCGGACCAGAACCAGGCCAGGAGGATTGCAGATGAAGGAAACTTCCGTGTTCTCATCCTGGACCTGCATCAGGCCTGGCATGGCCTTGCAAGGCTTTCAGCTTTAGGTCTTTAGGCAGCTTTTGAACATGTTTTTTTGAATCGAAGGGTCACGTTGGTGACAGAGATGTGGATGCCAATGCCCTTGCAGAGAAGATCAGCCTGGAAGGTGCGGTCAGCAGAATCAGCTCTTCAGCGGCAAAGGGGAGGGACTCACACGAGCATGTGTACAAGCATCGGTAGCTCGGACACTAGGTGAGGCAGCAGCATACTTGAAATCCGAGAGATCTCCCAAAGTCGGCATAGCAGCTTGGCTGTTCTTGTGTGGACATATGGAAGAACTTGGTGGGTTTGAAGCTGTGCAGGGCATGAACTTGGCAGCCACCGCGAGGTTGGATTTTGCATGGGTGGTGCGATTACCTTCGCTGGCCTTGCGACTGCTGACGACATATGCTGTGGCGTGACCTTTCTCAGCAATGGGGCGTACCTCTCTTGCAGGTGGACTCTATCTGCTTTGCGATTTGCACGCATGGAGCTTTTGCAAGGCTTCTCGGAGTCAGTCCTGAGACGCTTGATGCTGAAGCTCTAGCGGGCAAACCGGTACAAGGCCATTTTGCCGCTGCCGATCCAGCAGGGAGCATTCCCGCTCCTTGACAGTCGGCTTTTCCTTGATTTGTCTACGGAGCGACGCAGGGTCTAGTGCCAAGGATGCAACGACAGCGCATTTGTTGGAAGAACGCCTGCGAGCTGGCGGGAATCCAGATGCAACCGTCTTTGTCTATGATGCTTGGCATTGGTTGTAGGAAGGAGGCTATGTTATCCAAGAGAAGGTTTTTAGTGGTCCACACGGGTGCAGGACGTTGTTCTGCATTTCTTTGCTTGCTTTGCCTCCAAGTTTGAAAAGTTGCTTTTATTTCGTCGTTTGGTGGATCTCAGGAGGACCTGGGGCATTCATTCATGAGCCTTGGCTTTTACTGAGACGACAATCGTGGACTGATGCAGCTGGTATGCATCATGAAATTGCAGTGAAACCTGGCCTGCAGGAACGAAAGCCCGTATCCATTCTCTAGCTTTGCGGAGAGGGAAGCTGAGCTCGGATTACCTGCCTATGATCCAGAACAAGCATCGCTGGCGTCGCGGTTGATGTCATTGATTTGGATAGGTCGGGAATCAATCGCCTTGTGGAGGATATCCACATGAAAAGGGTAGTGTGAAACCGTGCAGGTCATAGGTAGAGTCCTTCAAATCGGAGAAACGGATTGCCCATGATCCTGATGCTGGCGGAGAAAGCCCAACATCATCAGCTTCATTGCGGCTCCTTTTTTCAATCTGAGGCCTTCCTGTGCCCTGTACTGCCTCAAACTGTCCGTGCTCATAATGTTTTTTCGTGTGTCCCATGGACGCCTCGAATCCTTCAAAAATACATCCGTTCCTGAGGGGGAACTTCAAAAGCGCACGTGAATTTGAGCTTGCTTTTGGGGTGGGATTTGGGGAGGCGGTTATGCAGGGTGGGCTAGTGACGTCGACCCCAAAGAGGCGGGGGAATTGCGGCATAATTTTGATTCCAATGCTTGCAGTATTGCTGCGATGAGTGCGGCGCCTTTGTGGTTTTGTGGGTTTGCACGTGGCTCAACTTGGGTTAGGGTGGAATCTGAAACACCCTGTCTTCCCAGTGGTCCCTGGCCTCGGGAGCCTCTCCGACCTCCCAACACTGCCCTTGACTCAAAAACCGTTTCAAACAACCAAACGCGACCATCCAGGCCTCGCCCCTGCCACACAGCAGCTGCCAAAAGAGGCCTTCCAGCAAGCTGACCAGGAGCCCAGAGTTTTCCCAGCAACCTTGCCAGGGCTTCTCTGCAAACTTTCCAGGTGCTCTCATGGCACAAGCCTTCCCTGAGGCTTCCCTACCAACTCACAGGCAACTGACAAAGGACGACCCAAAAGCTTCCCACAGGCTATATCAAGTTCATTTGGCTTCAAACATGCCCGTGCTCCTTCCCAACCGCAGCTTCTCCAGCCTCCGAGCCTCCCCATAGCCTGTCAGGCGTCCTCCTAATGACCCGCTCTCCCTCCCAGCCGCTTCCAAGGACCTCCCCATAGCCTCCCAAAGGCATCTCGGGCTCGCAAACGACCAGAAGCCTCCCTCAAAAGATTTTCTTTTGTCGAAACACTTTCAAACAACCATCCCCCGAATCGTGTCTCTGAAGGCCTGTCCTCCTTTGACAGATTTTCCTAGGCCTCTCAAAAACGACCACCTCCTGGGAAGTTACACCTTTTAGGAGACACTCAGGGGTTGACGGATAGCGGCTTTTAATGGGATGTCCAGCTATTTGCTTATGTTCAAGTTTGGGCTCCGCTGACGAGCTGTTGAGGGTGCATTGCTGTTTGTTGGTGTGCAGACTGCTGCAGACCTGATGTTCCTGTTTAGCCAAGCCTGAGGCATGGAGCAGACTCTTCGAGTTCTTGGGTCAGCTACCTAAGCTCCAAACAGTCTTCCAACCCCTTTGTGCGGATTTGCCGATGACTAGCGGCACTCAGGCTGGCATTTGGCCGGAAGGACGCCACCAACAGAAGCTCGGCGGCGCAACTTCTCCTTGGCTCAGGGCATCTTTTTCCGCATCCACGGGTTTCGAGTTTCAAGAATCATGCTTGCAAGGATGACCTTCACCTTGATGACATGGAGGGATTGGACCAGGTTCGGCACGCATGTAGTTGATCCACTCAATGTCTATTGCATCGCATCAACGATCAACATGTGTTACATGATTTCGTCCCGCTGCTGCCTACCTCTGTCTGATTGCTCAGAGGCGGAGGCCCCTCAAGGTCCACCGAAAGAAGCTGGGTGGCACGGTTGCTGAAAGTTTGTGCACCAAAGTTCTAAGATGTCCAAGGATGACCTTTGAGTCGACTCGGACAACTATCCCCGCGTCTTCTTCACCATGAGCTTCCCACCGTGAAGCGTGATGGGAATCCACATCTAGCCTGGCATGTTCGACTTCATGTGCGCATTGTGTTGGCCCACCTATCCATGGATCGCCCGCTCGGTGACGTGGTGGCAGCCTTCCAGCACAGCCTGGCCTGGCGGTCAAAAAGTGGGCGCAGTTCTGCTGTGTTTTGCCAGAATATGATGAGCTTGGATGGACAACTGAGGTCTTTGCCCGCCGCTTGCAGCTTCAGGCGTTCAAAAGCTCTTACTTGCAAAGCTGCGGCCAGTCATGTTTGTGGCCGCAGGAGCGCCTCACGAACCAGTTCGTGGATGCTTTGGAGCAGCTTCTTTCACCGCGGGCAGTGGCAGTCAGCTTGGAGGCTTGAATCTGCCACAAACACGTTGTCGCTTAAACACGAAACCCCCTGCCACTTGCTTCGTCCGTATACAACAAAAGTGTTCCACTTGACAAAAATATGCAGGCTGCCTGTCTTGAGACTGTACTCTGAAGAGCATTCAGTCAGCTGCTGTGAACCTAACAGGTCTGACTGCTGTTCATCTTACAAAAACCATTTTTTCCCGGAGGCCATCCCTGGGTAACTCGGTGAGTCATTCTCTTTGAAATCTCGATTACTACATATTACTACCTGAAATGCGAGGCCTTGTTTTCATAGCTGTTCAAAGCACGGATTGCTCTCTGTAGGATGTCAATTGTGATTCACAGCCTTCCGCCTTCCCAGCATCCTGTTTTGTGCTAGCAGGCAACCTTCTCTTCTTTCTACAGTTGACTGTGCAGAGTCAGATCTCTGACTGGCCGTGGCTTTCCGTTTGCTATTCCAAAACGGACCTCAACATACTTCCGTACGTTGCGTATTGGCTTGTCCTTCTGGGTTGCATGCTGAACAGCTATGGAAGCTGATAGCTTGGTCAGGGCATCCACCCATCCAAAGAAAAAAAACGACCCAATTCCATGTGGATGCCAAGGTAGCAGTTTGAATCTTACAGTCCAACAAATGCAGGAACTGGACTTTAGACTCTGCCAATCCAAGGTCTGGGCACAGGCCGCTCGCAACCAGCAATTCTAGTCACTTTTTCGGACCACAGTACTGTTGACCCTAGTTGTCTACCGACAAAGGTGTCTAGGCGTCTTGCATCAGCCCCCCCCATTCGGACAGCTCATGCTCAGTGACGATGTTCCTGCTGTCAGTCCTTGCAGGTGCATTCCACAAGAGCTGGGTGTTCTCTGATGTTCTCTGCACAGTTATGCACTGATCATTTTGGGCCGGTGCCTGCATCCCACAGTTAAGCTTTTTCCCTGATACGGGGGGTACGTAGGAGAGGGTGGTCTGGTTTTCGTGACAACCACTCCCAAACATGGTCTCGATGTGGAAGCCTATAACAGAGGGTTTGGGGCGACAACACCGCATTTCGGCGCGCCCGTATTTGGGAAGGGGCGCAGTTCATTTCAGGAACCATGCCGGAATTTCAGGAATTTTGATTCAGGAACTTGGTAGGGTCATTTCAGGAACCAGGATAGGTCATTTCAGGAACCAGGATAGGTCATTTCAGGAACTTGGAAGCGCATTTCAGGA